AGGAGGCTTATAGAGTGCTCCTGGGGGCTGGGGAGGGCAGAAATGAGTGAAAAATGAGCTGTTTTTTGCTTAATTTTGTCCCCCCCTCCAGCCCCCAGGAGCACTCTATAAGCCTCCTAAAGGCTATGCATGCCCTTTTTTGACAAAAAATGAGTCCATTTTCGTGAAAAATGAGCTGTTTTGGGGAGGTCTGCAGAGTGCAAAAACTTTTTTTTAATTTGCCTCTTCAAAATCTTCACGTGTTTTATACTCTGGTGCGTGTTATACTCCAAAAATATGGTAGTTATTTTCCTGTAAATTTTATAGTTAAGTAAAGAGATGCACTAAATTTTGGTAAATAAAAAACACCCTTTTTCTCTCTTGCTCACCTTTATGAACTACACTTCTCCATGTGTTTACCACAACTGCTGTCTAATCTATGTTGATCCATATTTTCTTATTTTAATATATAGGCTTTTAAGGGCATACACAACCTAGGTTTTTGCATTTGGCAACATGGCAGTGTCTCAAAACCACTAATCCTCAGCAGATTCTTTAGGATGCTGTATAGCTTTGATTTAGCTGTGATGACTTGAGATCAATGTTTTCTACCCTTGTTCTAAATAGGAAAATAATATTGCCATATTTCAAAGGACATCTGAAATAATTCCTGAATTAAAAAAATGTGCTTTGTAGAAAATAAAGAACTGGTTTTTTTTTCTATGTAGCCATACATATTTATTAGTCATACATATTAATACATATTTATTAGTCTATGTTATCAAACTATGTGCTTAATTATGAAGGCAAGTAATTGCCTATGGATTCTGTGAAGCCAAAATGATTTTGCAAATGACCTATTGTCCAAGTTTTTTTTGAAAAGGGTGACATATAATAAACTAACATGCTATATTATTTTAAATATATTTTAAAACATTTTCCTGCCCCAAAATGACAATGATGCATACCTTTCCGTAGAAGGTATTCAGCCACCAAAGCTGCTACATGAACATAGCACATTGCTGCCTAGATTATGAATAGAAAGAAAGGACAATTATGATGAATTCAAAATTGTAAGATTCAAGTAAAGGAAGAAGCAAATAGCGCTAAGCTATTTATTTGTACAGGAAGTTATTTCAGAAAAAAAAACAATATTTCCACAGATAAGAGCTGGTTGTTCTTCAAAGGCATGTATATAGATAATGCAACTTTCTCCTTAAACTGAAATGAAGTTTCTCACATTTTTAACTTCCTTGCTGTTAAAAAAAAAAGATCTAATTACTTCAACTTTTAAAAGAATTATCAAACAGTACTATGAGAGCACATTAAGGTACTTTCTTCTTGCTTACCTCTGAAAAATCTCCATTTTTAACATGAATTTTTGCCATGCTATCCAACCATGTTTTCCTCAGCTCAGGTGTACTAGCGTAAGACTTTGCCAGACTATACTGAAGGTCCACTAGCATTTCTGGATCATTCTCATGTTCCTTCATTTGTGCAGTTGCCATTAGGACCGTACGGATGCGTTTGGTCAGATCTTTTACATCAGAAGGAAAGGTAGTGTGCTATAATTGAAATAACATGATAAATAATGTCAGCACAAACAAGGGCCACAAAAGATGTGTAAACTGCAATTCATACATCCAATACAGATAATAGTCATCTTTAGGCATTTGCCTGAATGCAAATAGATGAAAAGCAATGGGAAGTTGGGTGCAAATGCTAATTTCACTCCATACTCTTTTCAACTTCCATGTGTTAAGTGGTACTCTGAAGAAAACAACACTTTGCATGATTCAGAACTTTGCAGTATTAGAAATTCAAATCATGCAGATATTCTAAATACATTTAAAGAACTTCACGTAAAGCTTCTCTTTGACTTCTTAGCTAACGTGGATTTCACAGTCTATAGAGACTCCTGCAGTAAATAATCAGAGTTGTATATTCATTTACTATTATGTTGGGTTGTTAAGTTATAAATTAGTTCACAAACTTTTGTAAGAGTTAAAGAGAATCAGGCATTTGCAGCACTGAAGATTTCAGCCAACAGCCCACACTCAATATCAGACTTCAAGGAATGAGACTAAAAGGTAAAAAGGATGGTGAAATGGAACCCCGACAAGAACAAATTTATTTTTGAATTTTCTTTTTTATTTAAGGCTACAAATGTCAAAGATTAACTTTGTCAATATAGTAATTTTCTCTCAGTAGGACTGAATTTCCATATGCAAAATAGTTTTGGAAACCACAGGATGCAGTAAAACTGACTATACTACTATAGTTCAGACTGACATATAGTATTTGACAAAAACAAATCTTACATTTCTAGAAGTCTTATTGTGTTCCTTCCCCTCAAATACAAGAAGCTTACCTTACCTAACTACCTGGATAAAGGGGAATAAACTTCCAATGGTAGTTTGCAAGTTCCTTCACATTACAAGGTACTACTCGAGTAATGTCAATTGACAAATTCTACATTTCACATTTTACAAACCTTAATATATTTATCACTGTTTGCACAGTTATTAATAATGGAAAGAGACTGCTGAAATCTGGTTCCTCCAATTCCAGCAACATCTGCAATCAGCTGACTCACGGAAATGATAACCTATTAAGATGCAAAATCACAATTTGGGTTACGTATCACTATCCAAAATACAATGATTTGTAAATTATCTTATTTCAACTTGAAAGCATACAGTATAATTTAAATTAGCAATCATAATTTTCCATATAAATGCTGCTTTTAAAGCAATTTCAGCCAACAGTAATTGCTTTCAAAGCAATATTCATAAAAGAAACTAGGGCATTTATTGTTTTCCGCGCCACTTAACATTTATTTTTGCAAATGTCATTGCCACATTATCAAGACGTATCAAATCTTACTTACTGAAATTACATTGTTACAATTTTAAGACAGAATTACAAATGGATAAAATAAATCGACTTTCCAACGATATATAAGAAATTAAAAATATACATGAAGTAAAGCTAAGTAAGATACTGGCCTCCTGAATGAATCTGACCATAAACTCTGTGTGCCAAATATCAAACTTGGGTTCCCTGCAATGAAATATAATGCAAGGCCTCCCTTCCCTTCTCCAAAAAATCTATGCAGTCTTGCAAAAGAAATTGTGTGATCACTAAAATGTCAAGTAAGGTAGCCTATGCTATACCATATAAAAACTATTCTGCAAACTGAATGTCAGTTAGCAAACTAAGTATCAAAATTCTCTCAAATGTTTACAAAGAATGATGTATATATAAAACTTAATGCTTGATTAATAAAGATTATCCTTCAATATTTGTTGTAAATGACAACAGAGTAACATCTGTATCTATTTTCATGTATTTGTATTTATTAGTTTGCTAAACATGTACAAGATAGCAGGTATAAATATAAATATGGACATGAATGAAAGAAATGGATACAAATAAATGGAGACAGTAGCCACGCTGCTGCGCTTATGCACGCCCTCTTTACAGACCTCTTAGGAATGAGGTGAGGTCCACTGTAGACAGTTTAAGGTTGAAGCTGTGAAAGTTAGAGGATGTAACAACGGAGTCAGGTATAGAGCATGGTCTATAATATATGCATATATTTTATATATATGCATGGTCATAACCTATGCATTACCTCCATTTGTTGTATGTATTTTAGCAAAGATAAACCCTCAATTTAAAATCTTCAGAAATTTAAAGATAAAGTCTCATTGATTTTTTTTCCTTTATGAAACAAGTTAAACAACAAAGTACACTCACCTGTAAATGTGTCCTTACAAATGATCTCTTTTTAGTATAATCAAAATTATTCTTCATTAAGAAGTAAAGGAGCTGTGAAGCTTCAGTTCGAATTGAACTTAGTTTGGAATTGCAGCACTTCAAAATTTCACAGCATAGTGAAGAACACATATCAGCCCGCCCTTCATAAAATGTAGAAGGGAACTGTAGAACAGAAAAACCATTTGTTCTGTTAAGACCAATTTAATAAAACTAGGATGAAATAAAATCTTAATCCAAATAACATTTTTTATATTTCTGAATGCACTTCCATCTTTACTAATGTTGAGCAAAATAAAAATAATGTGGGACATTAAATAGAAGACAAATCAATTAGCAATAGCAATTATCATTTAGGCTCAGTGGCTAAGACGCTGAGCTTGTTGATCAGAAAGGTCGGCAGTTCGAATCCCCACTGCTGTTAATGGAATGAGCTTCCATTACTTGTCCCAGCTTTTGCCAACCTAGCAGTTCGAAAGCATGTAAAAACGCAAGTAGAAAAATAGGAACCACTTTGGTGGGAAGGTAACAGTGTTCCATGTGCCTTTGGCATTGAGTCATGCCGGCCAAATGACCACGGAGACGTCTTCAGACAGCTCTGGCTCTTCGGCTTTGAAACAGAGATGAGCACTGTCCCCTAGAGTCAGGAACGGCTAGCACATATGTGCGAGGGGAACCTTTACCTATCATCCTATAGCATTTTGCAGCAATCTCTGGGTGATTTATAATGTAGAAGCATTAATTGCACACTACCCCCAACAATCTGGATCAAGTTATTCTGCTATCTAAAAGACCTTGGCATTTAAAACAGAGGTATCTTTTTATTTAACATGTAGATCTATGATATGGGGGAAAGCATTTAACTGATTCCTAAAAGAAATAAATAAAAAGTGAAACCATACACCAATATAATATACACTATCAAGGAAATAAAATTAAAATTACCTTAAAAATTAATGTCCTTAAAGCATTGAAAACATTTTTTAAAGCTGTTTCAGACTGATTTTTTTGTAGAAAGCAAATGTATACATCAAATACTTTTTTCATCAGAGGATTATGGCCATCGTCCTTCAGCAACTGATTCTTAAAATTAAGAAAATATGTATTTTGAAGGGGAAAAGAATTATTTACATTAAGGCATCTGTATATAGATCTGCTAATTAATTATCTTCACAAAGATGTCCATACAAAACAATTCAGAAATTCTTAATTACTACCATAAGCCAAATCTGCAATATCCTGATATTAACAATATGCTGATATATTATCAAGTAATATTTTCAAAAAGTTTATTTTTGACTAGATTTTGACTAGAAGTGAACATAGTCCTTGACTTACAGCCAAAATTGGGAGCAGAACTCTCTTTTGCAAAACAGTGCAGTTGTTAAATGAATCATGCCCAATTTTGCAACCTTTTTGCTATAGTTGTTAAGTGGGCTTCTCTTATTGACCTTGCTTATTGGAAAACCCATGGGCAAGAGTCAAATGGCAATCCCATGATTTTAGGATGCTGAGACCATTGCAAAGCACCCAGATGGGACCGTAGGGATGCTGCAGTGGTTATAAATGCAAGGATTGCGGGTTGTAAGTAACTTTTTTTCACCGCTGTCATTTCTTCAAATGGTTGTTAAACAAATTGTTGTAAGTCAAGGACTACCTGTACCTCAGCTTTTGTGTATCCAATATTAGTTTTGATTTGTCTATCCGAATAGCAATTTGATTTACTATGTGCCAGTGCGCATAGGAAACTTTTTTCAAAGCAATTACTAATGATAATTCTATTAATAAACAGCAACAGTGTTGATTAACATATTAATTGCTAAGACTTCCGTTAATGGATAGTGTGACTTTTAACAGATTTGTGAGGTGGGGGAATAAAACAGCCTTTAAAATATTACACAGTATAATGCTTCCGGGGTGGGACCTTGCTGATGGCGGTAGCTTAACGAGCTGCCCCCGGGTTCCTGGCTGCGTTATCTGCCTAAATACCTG